CCCTCTGGGGCACCTGGCATTGGCCACTGTCGGTAGACAGGATACTGGGCTAGATGGATCTTTGGTCTGACCCGGTACAGCCTTTCTGATGTTCATTTGAATTAGGTGCACGGAGATGCTTTGGAAAATCCCACTATGCACCTATCTGCATTTTCATGCACCTCAATACCTTTGCAAATCTGGCTCTGCGTGATTTAGAATTATCAATGGGACTTGGGCACTTAAATCCTTAGACACTTTTAAAAATTCTTCTCTCAATAAAATCTTTAGCCTCAATGATTGAAGTGTACCATTCACAAAATAGATACAGCAGGTATAATAGCAGCTCAGGCTTCTCCACATCAGTCCTAACTAACATGCCCTACCTGGGATACACACCACTTCTAGGAGAGAAGGGAAAGTTGAGTTGCCATGGTCCATTTAGGGGGCACATTCTAACATGGTTTCAATTGTTTTTTTGCTTTGTTGGGGACTTACAATAATATAATACAGCTGCGATGCGCCGCCCCTATATTTAGCCCCTAACGACATTGCCAACAACATTGCCAAATAGTGACAATTGTGGTAGTTTTTGTGATATGGACACCAGTTCATAAAGAAGTGGAATGAGACCTGACTTATTCACATGGAGCACCCAACAGCTATTAGATGGTTACAACCTTCAGTCACTACCAACCTGGCTAGGACTTGGAAGGGCCAACCTAGTTATGAATGGCTCTGTATCCCATTACCAAGCTTCTGAGCCAACTAGTCGCTTTCACCCTCTTTATCTTGAGCTGTTATAAAGAAAGGTCTCTTTAATTGACTGTAGGACAACATTTTAACTGAGCACACTGAACATCCATTTTACAAATTAAACTACTTGGCATTTTTAAAAAATCATTTCCATACTCTTGGCTAAAGACACAGTGGAATAATTTCTCACATTAGAGAATTTCAGTAATGACAATAAAGAAATTTCAAGGAATCAAAGTAACGTACACAACACAGATCAGAACGTTTGCTAGCTTTCCTGATAGTTCAGGAAACTATGCGCCCCAGAGGAACTACTTTCTCTTGTCAACAAGCAGGCATTCACAACTGCTTTCTATCTTTTTTTTTTTTTTTTTTTTAAGATTTGGAACTGAGAGAAATAAATCTTCTCTCAATATAAGCTTCAAAAAATGAATGAAAAATGTGTTCTTCTGAACACTAAGAAAGCAATATTGCATCTGTAGGAGGGCTTGGCTTTTTGGAGTTCTACAAATAAGCACTTTTGAGATGAAATTAGAGTAGAGTACCGTAAGCCTCACACCAATACAACTTCATAGAATGAATATTTTTATCAATGTCCCATACCTTCACTCAGAGATGGATGAATGGGAGGGGAAACTAAAGGGCCAAATGTCTCTAAATCAAAACGTCCAGTTCTTGACTGAGCCTTCAAAAGCCAATATCGTTTTTCAAGATCAATGATGTCTGATTCTTCCACTGTATATCCAAAAAACAAAACAAAAAGTAAATCTCTGACAAGCAGAACAAGGTCTTTAAAACAAATACTTAATTTATATCAATACAAAGAAAATGCATACTGAAGATTGTTTAGATACTTATAAAGAAACTACTAGAATTATAACAAGCAACAGAGAGTCCTGTGGCACCTTTAAGACTAACAGATATATTGGAGCATAAGCTTTCGTGGGTGAATGCCCACTTCGTCTTGCATCCGACAAAGTGGGCATTCACCCACGAAAGCTTATGCTCCAATCCATCTGCTAGTCTTAAAGGTGCCACAGGACTCTCTGTTGCTTTTTACAGATCCAGACTAACACGGCTACCCCTCTAATACTAGAATTATAACATTCACTTATGAATACATAGAAAAGTTGTTTAAAAATCCTATTTTGTTTGTCTGCAAATGTAGGAATATTTTGGACAGAAACTTTTGCAACTCATACAGGTAGTTAAAAAACAGCACAATGAAAACAGATTATTTCTTTAAAAAGAGAAACAATGAATAATTTTATGCCTGTTTCCTGCACCTACAAGTTCATAGTAACAATGGAGCAACAAGCTAAATTTAGAGTTTCCTCACTTACAGAATTACTGCACATCACCACAGTTACTCCAGAGAATAAAATCAATTACATTGTGATCTGTCTTGATATCACACGCTCAAAGGCACCACAGAAGTGAACTTCTGCCAGCTGCTGAGTCTGCTGAAGTCTCTTGTTCTATTTGATAACCCCCCCCCCACACACACACACACAGAGATGTCTAATTGCACAGAGAGCCTATTTTCTCCACGCTGGTCCTTAACAGGACATCGCACATTTGAATACTGAAATCAGGATGTAAAATGAGCATTTATACACAAAATATAATGAACATCCAAGTACAGGACTTGGCTACTTTGAGGCACTCATGTTGGAAAATTGTACATTAAAGCTAGAACAAATTCCTACACCAAATACTGTGAAATTAAAACTAACGGTTAATACAACTATAACTTAAACTTACATTTAGACATTGCTATCTTTCTACATTTAATATTTATTTAAAACTATAAAATCGTGTGCCTTTACTTCTTTTTCTTATTTATTGTTGTTATTACAAAAGCACCTGGAGACACAATGAGTAGTGGGGCCCCACTGCCCAAATTCAAATTCGAACTCTTCAGGGCAAGGATTATACTAATTTGAAGACAGGATGTAGTCATGAAAATAACAAGGAATGGGAAAGAGGTGAAGGAGAAAACAGCCACAAGAATGTGCATTAACATAGGACAGTGACGTGCACAACTAGATAGTTTCTACTCTTTTTTTTTTAATTTTAAGATAACTGTCAGATGATTGAGATAAATATGCAAAGTCCCTACTAATCAATTAAATTTTAAAATAGCCAATGGGAAGAGTAAAAGGTTTCCACAAGAAAGCAAGAGTAAAACTCCACATGCAAACAGCAGCCTCTAGAAAACTGAAGTCTTAGATAAATTTCTGTGCTTGAAGAAATAACATGTTCAAGAAATATTTTCCCCAAAGCATTTTACCCATGTGGTATAAGGATGCGTGTCAACAGTGCTTTAGGTTGGTGTGAATTAAGTATTTCTCAAATATCTATTTAATAACAAAGCTGCCTATATTAAGAAACACCACATGTGATCTCATTCCCAGATGGTTCTAAGCCCTTAAAACCATGCCAGCTTTCTAATAGGATTTAACTGCAGCTATTTGGCCTGGTTAGACTATAGAAACAAAACAATGTCACAAGGACTGAAAAAGGAAGAAAAACAAAAAGAGGCAGTTTTAACATTTCACCTTTGCCTCAACTCCTGGTTTTAGTGGATCAATATAGGCTAATAAGTATTCCAGACATAAGAATCTGGTCGGCCTTAATGGCAAAAAGTTAATAGAAGGGAGCACTTCCCCAAGCCAACACTGGATTTTGACAGGCAACTTACACTGCCCTATGAATGCAATCACCAGCTGCTTTTTGGTTTACCATAAGCAGCATATAGATTTTGGGAAAATAGTGGAATAAATTTGCAAACTTTAAAAATAGTTATGGATCAGCGCTCAAGATTGAAGTTGCTAGTTTGTATTTCTTGAACACCACTCATTGGTGCTTTTCATTACACTGAAAAGAGGTGAATGACACAAGAAAAATGTAGTTGTATTAAATTTACTCTGCCCAGTTCAGTTCACAAGAGTAACAATCACATAAAATGTGTTCACGTTAATTTTAAACAGCCCAGCAGGCATATCATGTAATGTAGAGCACACTACTCAAAGCTACCTTCAACACTGCACATTTGTAGAAATTATTAAAAAAAGATCACACTTGAAGCACAGAGTTTGGACTCCTGTCTTTTTTGGGTATCCTTCAACAAAATATTTAAAGAAATTAACGAGAAAAATGTGCACAATGAAACTATTTTGTTGTCTCCACTGCACGTTCAATACAACCATAATATTCCAATCAGAGCAGTTAGAATGATCAGTGCAGGAACCCATTACAATGGCGATGAAAACAGCTATTATATTAGCATTGTCATTACCCACAATAAATACTGCATTGATGCATCCACTAACAACCAGTCTAGTTATTCACTGTCCAAGGAGAGTGACATGTAAAAAGCAAAACAGCAGCATAAATCCTGTAAATGATTTTTAAAATTCTTTCACAGTTTTCCTAGTCTAGAATGTAGCAATAACAAACGTAAGGATTTGTTTTTAAACGGGCCTTTATCCTGGACTGCTCTACTTTACAGCAACTTCCCACAGCTGCCTCCAGGCCACTCTGTGACCTGCTGCATATTTTTATGTCTCAGGAAATTCCTTGCAGGGCGAGAAGAAATTTTCCCGGGGTTCTGGCCCCACTCCAGAATCAGGACCATGCTTTTTATCTTTACAGCTTTTTTAAGGCTATCATTGCATACTCACCAGGCTGAGGCCTAGGTTTTTAAAAAGGTAAAATTTAAAAGCAGAAAAATAGGTGTTAAGCTCACAATTCTGATACTTAAAAGAAAAAAATTGTTCAAAAATATGCAATTGCAATGTTATCTATGAACAACATGGAACGGCTCTATATACATTGAGAAATGTAGTAAAAATCTTTAGAACTGGATGTTACTTACCAGCTTTTGAATTTTTGACTATTAAGAATGACAAATTACATTTAGAAACTGAAAATATTCATGTTATTCCTTTGAGTTCACAAATAGAATAAACTAGACAAAGGACATTCACTGCTGTAATTTATAGCAACAGAGATTTGGCCACCATATACTGAAAATGTGCACATAAAATAAACTTGGTAAAAGGACACATGGAGAGTGCTAACAATTATGCTAAGAAAAACCAGTTGCTAACCTTTCATAATTGTTTTTCTTTAAGACATGTTGCTCATGTCCATTCCATGTTAGGTGTGTGTGCACCGTATGCAGTTGCTGGAGATTTTTCCCCTGAATGGTATCCGTTGGGCCAGCTCTCGCGCCTTCTGGAGTTGTGCACCTACATGCCGGTACAGAGGGCGCACCCTGCCCCACACCTTCTCAGTTCCTTCTTGCTGGTAACTCCAACAGAGGGATAGGGAGGGTGGGGCATGGAATGGACATGAGCAACACACCTCAAAGAACAACAATTATGAAAAGTTAGTAACTGTTTTTTCTTCTTCTAGTGCTTGCTCATGTCCATTCTATACTAGGGGACTCACAAGCAGGACCCCTGAAAGTGGGCTCGGAGCTCATGGACATGCTGACTGCAACTGGCATCGTCATGGGCCTGTTGGGTGACAGCGTAATGGGAAGCGAAGGTCTGAACCGATGACCAGATTGCGGCTCTGCAGATGTCCTGGATTGGTACCTGCGTGAGGAATGCTGCTGACGAAGCTTGATCTTTTGTGTAAAGAGCAGTTATGACGGCCGGAGGCAGAACCTTCGCCTGCTCATAGCAAGCTTGGATACAGGTGGCTATCCAGAATGAGATTCTTGGGAATTCTCTCATTCTTTCCACTACTGCTACAAAGAGTTGCGTGACCTTGTGGAAGGACTTGGTTCTCTCAAGGGGAGGGCCCGTCCAACATCCAACGTATGAAGCCGATGTTTCTCAATGGTCTTGTGAGGTTTTAGAAAGACAGGCAGAAAAATGTGGTGGAATTCCGACAGCACCTTTGGTAGGAAGGCCAGATGAGGGCATAGCTGGACCTTGTCACCGTACAAGAACACTGTATAAGGGGGTTCTGATGTCAGGGCTTTGATCTCTGAGACCCTTCTGGCCAATGTGATCGCCACCAGGAAGGCGACCTTCCAAGAGAGAAGCAGTAGAGACCACGATGCTAACGGCTCGAAGGGAGGCCCCCTGAGCCTCGACAGAGCCAGGTTTAAGTCCCATAAGGGGGACTGGTTCATGAACCTGAGGCTAGAGTCTTTCCAGCCCATTGAGAAACCTGACCATCATCTCGTGGGAGAACACTGATCTGCCCTGCACTGGAGAGTGGGAAGACTGAGATAGCTGCCAACTGAACCTTAATAGATGAGAGACCCTGATGCTTTATGTGGAGCAGATAGCCTGCAGAGAAGATCAGGAATGAGAGAGATTCCATTTGGAGGCCAAACAAGCGAAACGCTTCCACTTGGACAGGTAGGTAGCCCTAGTGGAAGGCTTTCTACTACCTAGCAAGACCTGCTGAACTTGATCCGAACAGGCCTGCTCTTCAGGGTTCAGTCACGCAGCAACCATGCAGCCAGGTGCAGAGAGGCGAGATTTGGGTGAAATCAAGTCCAGGCAGAGTGGGAGCACAAGTGGAGCTGCCACTGTGAAGTCCAGAAGCATGCCGAACCCATGCTGGCATGGACATGCAAGTGCTATCAGGATAACCTTCGCCTTGTCCCGTTTGATTTTTTAGGAGGGCCTTGTGAACCAAGGGGATCAGTGGGAAGGTATATAGTAGGTGGTCTGCCCACAGAGCAGGAAGGCATCAGAGAGGGAGCC